CGCCCCCCCCCCCCCCCATAAAATGGTGCGCGTTGCGCATTTGAACTGCCTAGTTTCTAACTAGGTTACCCAAAATTATCGTGAACTGTGCTTCTAAGTTAAACCCTTGTTGCACCATTTCACGGTGTTTTTAGCCTTTCGTCATGACTTCTTCCCATTACGAAAGCTGCAGAATCCTCTTTATCATGACCTGTATCGTCCAAAAACCCGCATCGCAACGAAACGCAACAGTCAAACGTGTGAAAAAGCTTCGCGAAAACGTTCACTTTACGTTATGCTTTCAAAATTCTAGTTCTCATTAAGTTAAAATCGCAGAAAGGAGGCAAGGGTCAGTTTTCGCAATTTCCTATTGAAAATTATTGCATATACATGTACTGTGGTCAAGTTGAGTGGAGAATCTATTTCACAATCTCAGTTCCATTATACTGGCAATAGTGGATTTTTCATATCAAACGACAGGCCCCTTATCAATAACAATAAATAAAGCCCTTTGAAATGACGCTCTGCTCGTTTGTGCGTGTAACATGCACAGTTATTGAATTCTTTCATCAGGAGCGTTGCAACATTTAGTGAACGTCATCTCTGATCAACTGCCTGGCAAAATCGCTACTGATTGGGATATCTCCGACCATCAGACGAACGCTTAGACACTATTTAATAGTAGTAGCTAATAGATGTAAAGCCATTTAAGAAGTGTATGCTAGAAAATCCAGGCGTTTTTCCCCTGGAACATTCTGGAAACTTCCATTTATTTATTGCATATATGTATATGTACTGTGGTATATATACAGATATTGTATATTGTATATGCCATCTCATTTAAAGTTCAAAAAGATTTCTATCTCAGTAAATTCGCAGCAAAGAAGAAAAGAAGCTAATATTTCAGTGTTCAGGTGCACACATGTGAGGTAAGAAGATCAGCCCGTTTGGCCCTTCTGCTGGATGCATTTGCTTATCCTGCGAATCTATTTAAGGGCCTCTTCATCCCACTCAGGGAAAGTTCGTGTGGAGTCGCTTCTAAATCCTAGGTGGATGTTCTTTATACGGTGTACATAGGGCTGCCGTGCAACTGTGACAGCATGGTGTGCTTTAACAGTTGATTCATATATTCGCCCAATGTCCTCCACATATTAACAAGGGATTGTCTTCCACCTGGGATTAGAAGCGACTCCCCACGTAATTTCCCTGAATGGGATTATGAGACCCCTAAACAGAATCGCAGAATAAGCAAATGCAGCCAGCAGAAGGGCCAAACGGGCTGTTTTGCTTACATCCATCGTTGTCAGCGACCATTTCTCAACGTCCGGGTAGCATTTGGGCGCCGAACAGCTAACCTCTCCAACAAGTGCGTATGTGATGCTGTGTTGGCTTGCGGCGTCGACGACCAGATGTGCGATTGCCACTGACGTGCCTTCAGTTGATCGAATAGTTGAAGTTGAGGTCGCACGTCTGGATTTCAATCTTTTTTTTCGGAACTGCCGTACAATTAAAGCCGCGCGGGGCTCGGCCTTAAATCATAGTGGTTTCCTTGTAATTGGATATTGATTGAAAGTTCCATCCATTTCCCAACAATACGTCAAGAGACTTGATAATACAGTTTAGCGGCTTTTTTCAGTACACAGTCGCCACGCCCTGGAATTCTTCAGCCATGATGAATGCCCGTTTGGAGCACGTGACCCTCTATAAGACATTCCTGACGCATTCTCATCTGCACCCATCCGAGACCGACAACTGGGCTCATTCAGCAAACTTGTGATCGTTTCGAGAAAGGAGGGTAATTTCGATTTCGGAGAAAATCTCTACCGATAGCATCATTTCGCTTGTGAACTACTGCTTCTGTGAGGAACTGGGATACATATCCACACGTTTCCCTGATCGTCTTCAATCCGTTGGATGTTCGACTTCCATTTCCGCGGAGATGCCATTCTCGCTAGAAAATACGGAAATACTCTGGTCCTCCACGATTCGACGATTGATTGATCTTCGTTGGCGGACTGCGGGCACTACCCCGAATAATTCTTTTGACCTTTCTTCCATCTTCGACCGGAAGCACGCATTTTTCGACACTACGCTCAGAGAAGGCGTACCTTGCAAATGTCGACCAGGCTCATGGCGGATTTTGAGGGGCGAATTTTCCTCTTAATACGCCCAGTTTGGAAGCCGCGTAACGCGGAATGTGAAATTGGGCGTCATGAAGAGGGAAGCGCGATTGAGTTAGTATCAGTATGGGATTCGAATCGCGGACCATACGTGTGCGGTGGCGCACCATTTGCCACTACACCCTGCCCGCCTAAGTTCCAATGCAGAAATAATATTGGTTTGGGTAAGGGGAAAAAGGGAAGTGAGCATACCATTTTCAGCTTCCTGAGAAGCCGTTAAGGAAAGAGTTATCCATGTGCATGCTGGGACCTAACATAGGAAATTTTCAGATCAGCTCAAAATACTTGAAAAAAGGTACGAAGAATGAGTGGATTATTGTTATGAAGGGGAATTGAGGGCATTCAAAGCTGAGGGCTACATCAAAATTGGTTCCATAAAAATCATAAGGTTAGAAAAAAGGCACTGAAACATAAAAATCATGTGTAGTTATGGTGTCACTGCAGATCGTGTAGTGGGAAAGTTCATGAGGCACACACTATGAAAAAAGTGGTGTGGGTGGAGCATGACGATTCGAGCTTACCTTGACGTACTCATCACTATCTCCAGTGGTGTTGCGCGTGTCTGATCCCACTGGCGCTGGCCAGGTTCTTTCACCCGTCGGCTGTACACCATTCCTATTGACGCGATAAGTATCACTCACTGGAGCACCGGCTCGGTCATACAATTGCTAAAACAGTCCTTAAATATTGCATTACTTGATCGGAGGTTATTGTCTGATAGAGGAGATCTATCACTCGCTCAACACTCCACTATCAAACAATAGAAATGAAATTAGCTGCAGAGCTTCGAAATGGGCGTTTTTTAAAAGAGCATAGGCGTATTCCCGAGGCTATGCCACCTTAAGCACTCGTAGGTAAGATGAATTTGAAAACCTTCATCATAAAACAAAATCACGGTTTTCAACAAAGTACACTCGTAATGTAATCTCGTCCACACTCTATGACCCTCACTTTTGAAGAGCCCTATTTTTCTCGAATTCGGCAAATTTCATCGCTTTCTTCTCTACCGATGAACTATTCCCACCCTACATTACCGCTTTTTGAGTAAAAAAGGATACCTCAAAATTATCGTGAACTGTGTCCATAATGAACATCTTAGAGAAATATCATAGGTACGAATAAAGAGAATAACATTCAACTGAAATACATAGATGTGTAGGTCAAGTTACTAAGTACGAATTTCTTAAAGATGATGCAATGCTGAATCACCACCACTGAGTGAAAAAAAGCATGATCTTGGTGGTTGGGTTATCATGACTAGCTGCGAATAAGTTAGGAGACACGATGCTCCATGTTCAAGCATACATGATGTTGACGTATAACGTGGAAGATGCGAAACCCGAAGCCGAACCGACTGGCGACGGAGAAGACCGCAATGCAGCATTTGGCGTAAAACCTTAGCGTGGATACGTCTGAAGGCTTCCACCCTGAGCGCACAGTGTTTGAATCATGAAAACGTCGAAGTCTCTTCGCATTAGACTTGGTGCATGTTTGCTCGAGGTCGTGGAAGCCAGGACACTGTTCTGATTCCAGATTGCAGGTCATCCTTCCAAGGTTTGCGTGAAGGCACAACAGAATGCGAGTCTAGGCGAATTGGAAGCGATTAACAAGAGGATCTCATGGTTTGCCATACCACTCAAGGTAAGCTGAGTACCATCTACTATCATCAACAACTATTAAGATTGATCCACATCATCTTTTACGGGTGAAGGGAAAAGTTAGTTGTCCTAGAGAAATGAAGCTTTTATTGCTGAGTTAGAGTTTCCCTAGCGTTTACAAAAACTGTGATTATTCGCTCATCCCTTCTCGCTCATCGCCACATCGATAGCATGCGCTATTGGGATTGGAGTTCATCGAATCAAAACCACCTCCGTAGAACCCAACAGAATTCTCTATTTTCTGGGATCGGATAATTGGTTACAGATTGGCTGCTTTCATAGTCCGCCGGCCGGCCGGCCGGCGTGCCACGAGGCAGTGCTAGGGGGGAGGAGGACGGCATCGCAAGAGATCGTAAGACATGATATAGAGTATAATTCGGCGGACAACTTCCCAAAATTATTGTATAAACCGAACGGAAATCATGCAGGGGTCGAATCAAGTGCGCATCCCAAAAGAGAATTGCGCAACGCGCGATAAATTTCCTCTTTGAGTAAATGTACAGTTACAAACCATTCCTTCTGAAAACTTCCCAGCGTGTCTTTAGGGAAATTTTTACCTTTGGAAATTACGTAACATATTTCTTCACTTTATTCACCTCTTTAAGACTTCCTCTTTGAAGTCGAATTCTCTTTATACCAGCTGAAGGAATTCGTGCCTCCTCAGTTAGGTATCAAGCAGCAAAACACTCTTTAGAGGTAAAGAATGAGATTCTAGCGAGAAGTGTTTCTTCTCGAAAATGCATTACCTCAGCATCATTTCATGTTGCAAGAAGCGACCACCCAAAAGATAACAGCTCGCTGTATACAACTTGTACCAGTTACCGTTATAAGTAAGGATCATTTGCATGCTTCCGCCACCAACTCGTTTTGTGATACTCGCCCACGTCCCGATTAGCCTTCTTATGACCTAATCAGTTGGAAACTTCTATGTAGAGGCTTGGCCGTTGAATTTCATTATGTCACGGCAACGACCACTGATAAAACGATATTAAGCTCTCTGATGGGAGATTCATTGATTCTTTGATAAGGACCCTCATGCTAGGTATTTGCGTATTTGCGTGGGCTGATAAGTGGATTAATTTACGGTAAACAAAGCGCAAAGCGCAAACTCTCAGAAAAGCTGATGTCATCAGAATGTGAAAATCTCTAACATGACTGTTTGAAAGTGAATACGAATTAAATCGAATCAATACCGTAGAAGGTGAAATCAGCCGGTGATAGCTGAGCAAGCATTTTCGCGCCTCAGACTTATGGGTAGATCTAGAGAATACCGTTCATAACGGGAACTTGAAAGTATCAACGGAACCAGTGATGCTGAGGGAATGCTGCTTCGAGTGTTGCACCATTAACTCCAAGAAAGCAGGTGTTTTCTTCAAAGATGTATGCGAATCCGCTGCAAAGAGTGTTCAAGGAGGACCCACCTGGTCTTTGCTGAAACCTGTCTCGCGCAATTTTTATGAAAAAAGCCTCTCGATAGTATGTCTTCTATCCGAAGTGAGCGCTAAACGTGTTGGCAAAAACTCACTTCGTCTCTATGGAAGTCGCTGATGTCGTAATCGGTGAGGTCAGAATCACGATAGCTGAAAAGCAAACTATTCAAAAATGTGCCTTATCTTTCATAGTATTAACGCGATAAATTCATGATCACAGCACAAAATCAGTTGAGAAGTGGTTTGTCACAGTCCACACACTGTATTCTATTATCATTGTATGTTCGTGTTTTTGTATTCATTAGGTTTTATTTATTCCACTGAAGCTTCATTTCGAGAAGAAATTGATCACTCGTACAGGACAACCGACTTACGAATCTAGAGAGTACCGTTAAGGAGTTCGAAAATAAAGCGTGACCAGCAAACATCTAATATTAAGTTAATTTACCACCAATGTGACGGATACCATCACCTACTAAGAACAGTCAAAGACATAGTTCACGATAATTTTGAGGTACCCGTCTTTATTCGAAAAGCGGAAGTATAAATTGGGAATAGTTCATCGGTAGTGAGGAAAACGAAAGAATTCACCGATTTCGAAAAAATACGGCTCCTTAAAAGTAGGGAAAATAGAGGTTGGACGAGAATGTCATGACAGAAATAACATGGAAGGGGTTTTCGGACGAGATTTCGGTTATTGCAATTGCACAAAGAAGTGACTACATCAAGCCACAACTGTACAAAACTGTCTTCTACTGACGCTATGGGTCATGATAAGTTGTTTGAACTTCCTACATGGATTCCCTTGATATCGGTGCAGCCTCTACAATGCCTGTGAAACTCGTCTGGGGATGCACACGGACCAATCTTTGAGCCTTTATAACTCCCTAACTAGGCCGTCTTCCGACCCAATAGTGCCAACTATCGTACGTGCGAGAACTTCAATTCGTACTGTGGGAGAATCTCAGAAACGATTTCTATCGTGAACTGTGACTTTAAGGAAACGCTGAGAACACCATAAGGGAAGGAGGGAGGCTCGCAGGTGGTTCCAAATGATATATCGGAATACATCGCTAATATCGGAATGTTCGGAAGAGCAGTTGTTCTCCGCCTGCTGTCGAAAAAAGAGATCGACATACATAGGACCAGGGCTGATTAGAGATTTTTTATAATTAATAGCAAACTCATTTACGTCATGCAATGTTGGGCGGGTAAAACTTTGGCCAGACTGGGCACGAACCCGTGTTTGTGCTTTCCATACATCGTGCTATTTATCCCTTGCACTCCCAAGACTCAACTAGCCCTCGCTTCCTTTATGGCTGATAGTCAAAGATTTTGGCCAAGCCATAAGCCATAGATCAAATTACTTACATCATCATTCCTCATATAATGATACTCATTTCCGAATTATGGTCCAATATCTTCCATGATTCAAAGTTCATCTGTGGGAGCACACACGAACCATTATTTGGCCGCCTTTTCGATGGACAATGAACAGTGCTGATATGATGACACTAAGACAATCCATTCGCGCGTTATCAGGCGCCCTATGTTAGTTCTATTTCTATTTGTTATTGCTATATATTGATACGATGAGAATGTAGTCGTTTTTAACAATTTCACACTGAACTTTAATAAAATATTTGATTGCCTTTTCGCAGGCAGTGACGTACTGTACTTTATATTTTGCAATTTATGCAAGTCAGTTCTTCTTGCAAGTCAGCATTTTCAGAGCTACTTTCTAATCGTCAGGCAGTTAGTCAGCAGAATAATATCACTCTTTTTGCTTTAAAACAATGAATACGTATTTAAGAAGTGGTGTAACCATATTTACCATGACTCACTAATCAAAATAAATGACTGTTTCTTATTCATCGGTCGTCTAATTTCATCTGATTTGCCTATCAAGTACTTTCCCATCTTGAATTCTCAACAATTTGCTTGAAATTTTTCGGAATTAGATAATCAAATTCTTTGGAATTTTTCGATGCAAGTAGCTTCGTGACGCACAAGCCTTTTTTCATTTTATTTTGAATCACACACCTAAAGGCAAGGTTCACGACAGTTTCGAGGTATCCGGCTAGACTGAAATAGTGAGTGGTGTGGGATAGTGCAAAAAAGTCGAGGAAAGCTCGAAAATCAGCAGATTTTGAAAAGCATAAGGCTTCAGAAAAATATTAAAAGCACAGCTCACAATAAAAATGGTTTCAGAGTTTTCTCTTTAGGAATACCCAGTGGCCCCGAAGGTAACATGAAGGGCGCTAACGAGTCCCAAATTTCAACGGCTAGGGCACAGTGGGAGCCCCGTTATCGGATCGCCCACACTTTCAGCCCCTCGATCAATGTCACATACGTCAGACGAGAGCGATACAGATTGCAATATTCGTTCCAGGACCCACACACAATCAGCTGATCGCGGAGTAACGGACGATGTTCTCTCTCATTCTTTTTTCCCGGTTATTCTTTTTGCTGCTGCGATCCCATATTTAATTTCCTACCTNACGTCAGACGAGAGCGATACAGATTGCAATATTCGTTCCAGGACCCACACACAATCAGCTGATCGCGGAGTAATGGACGATCTCTCATTCTTTTTTCCCGGTTATTCTTTTTGCTGCTGCGATCCCATATTTAATTTCCTACCTTAAGAGGCTGAAACAGGTGGGCTATTTTTGCTGTTGCCAGAGTATTTTCGTTGACTTATGCTTATGAGCGCATGATTTTTTAATTACCGTGTCAGCTATTCGCACCAGCAAAAAGAATAACCATAACGCAATGACACACATTTTACAGCTCGTCCAAAAGCCCCATTCTTCTTCATTTTTCTGGTCTCACTCTCGTCCAGCCTCCTTTTACCAATTTGACAAAGCCTTTTTCACTGTGGAAACAACGATTCACGTAGTTTCTTCGCCATCAACGCACTATTGTCCATCTTATCTTCCATTTTTCGTCGTAATCTGGGTTACCCAAAATTATCGTGAACTGTGTCTTTGAGGAAGGAAATCGAGCGATATTAAGTGTCTGTCATCGTCTGGGTGTCTCTCACATAAGCGCTCTTCGTCGGCGTCCCAACGCTTCGTTGGGAATGATGCAGTCTCAATAAGACCGTTACAACACGGCCACATTTGGGTGTGTATGTCGGCCAAGCCTTTTTGGAATCTTTATAACGACTTTCTGGGCCATTTTTTGATCCATCCCTCAAACTATCCTTTGCGGCCAAAGGCCCATCCTAGAAGACAATATCAGAAACTATTTTCACCGTGAACTAGGCATTTAACTAAGCCTTTTCTATTCTGTGCAACGTTATCCATGGTCACATGAAGGGGTCACAAAGTGGAATGGCAGTTGATTGCCTTGCCATTTTTTCCATGCTCTGAGAAGTGATAACACACACTTGAGATGTTTTGCGATTGTTTTCCAAATAGCTCTGATATAAAATTACTCGCGCAATTAGCCTCTACGAATTCCAGCCAATCAATGTTTTTCAGTGGATATTCGCATATGCAAGTACTAATTGTTCTGCTCTTTACCTTTCATTATTGCCAATCATCGAACTATTCAATTTTCTATCACCGTAATCCTTCGCTACAGTATTATGCTGCAATTAATGTGACTTCGCACCAGTTTGACCAGTTTGAAAGATTGGACAGATTATCGTTCGATATTCAATACTTATCAGGACAAAGTGCCGTCGTACTGCTAAATAACAAAAAGTAAGTTCGATTTGGTTCTCATTTGTTCCATTCTAATCATCTCCACCTATTCGAAGCCATGATCGGGACACTATTGCGGATCAATCACTTACTCTTCTTGCCATCTGGACTGCTCAAGACCTCGAGGCCTGAGAGAGCATTACAATTTCCTAACGCTTATACATATGTATACACCCTCGAAATGTGAGAGTGCGGGGGTTACCGCAACTGGTACTGTCAGCATCAAGCTTGTCCACTGAGTGTTGATTTGAGTGAGGGAGAAAATAGGAAGCTCGTGAGGACTATCAACAAGCACGCCAACGACCCCAACCTGATAACAGGGGCCAAGGAAAGGCTTCATGACAAGGTGTAAAAATAGCAAATAAAATCGGCAAAAAGAGATCGAAGCTCCCTCTAATTGGAAAGCTCCTGTTTGAAATTGGGCAGAAGACTTGCCATGAACCGTATAGAGGACATCTCAACTATGAAGAGAATTCTTGTCAGCATGAAAGCAAGAATGAAGAGGACAGGAAAATGAAACAACTGAATGAAATCAAACAAAGCGGTGTGGTCTCGAACAGAAGGGTAAGTACAAACTGGAAAAGAGTGTTTTGACAGGAGTGAGTATTAATGCTACAGGACATCTTAGGTTAAGGATATTCGAGGCCTGGTAGTAATTCATGCATCTCATTGATGAGGACACCATTGTATTGTTAGAAACTCTGGAACAGCTGAGATTAACAATCAATACAAAAGCAGTATGTGCTAATCTGAAATTATGGTTACACTCGCTATAAATTTTTTTAATCATTATAGATAGTGGCAATACTTTGCTCATTCGTTTGTAGCAAAAAAATTCCGATCAAATGCGATACAGTGTATTGATATTACATAAGTGTAGGTCATCACATCTGCTTGTTCCTTGAAAAAAAAAACCTGCTATGTTGCATTTGTTATATTATGAGTAGAACACAAAAGAAGAAAAGTTTTCCGTTCTTCTCTCCTGTTCATAGTCACTACGGATTGTAGAGCGAAAAAGTTGCAATCATTGATATAACGTTGACCCGCAAGAACCCTAGAAGACATTCAGCACCTTTCCCGTCCGCTGGCCGTAAGCCAGCGGACGGGAAAGGTGCTGAATGAAAATGCTGTTTGTGCGGCTTTTTTGCCCCCCGTTAATTACAGACTCTAACAAGGTCTAAACTACTTTATCTAGACGAAATTACTGCCACCAAGACCGAGGTATTTCTTTCAGATGCCAGACGACATGCAACGTCTTCCTTCGCGACGGTGATAGTGCCCTTCTGACTTTCGACGGCGACAACGAAAATATAATCAGTTTTTACCAATTTTACCAGACGATCACCTATCTATACTATCGATCATGTCTTGAGCCAATGGAAAATATTAGTTGCCGCTTCCGACAAACTTCGACATTTGAGATTTGCATTTGCAAAGATCACCTTTCTGCATGCACATATGATGAGCCACTGTACTTTGACGAACCATGGTGAGTAACAACTTGATTTTTATTCTAATGAAACTAGAATTTTGGAGAAAATGTACCGAATTAAATACAGGTTGCCAAAACGCTTTTTCAAGTCGGAAATAGACTCTCGCCAGCCCTTATTATATTATTTATTATTATTGTTATTTCGATTGAGCGATGATTTGGGGCAAACTCGGAAAAACGAGAATTGGCCACGGTTTCAAAGTCAGTCTTAGCTCCTTCTCTGGCGTCTAAGATGGCTGTGGCGATATGAAACATATGTTCAACTGAGCTATGTGCTTGAATGTCGTCCATCCCAGGCTCAACTGCTACCTAATTGATGACTACCGTTCAACCAAAAACCCTTGCAATCATTTCCAATAGGTACAGTTGGATTTCAACTGTGTATGCCAAGAACAAAAAGAGAAGACTTGGATTGAAACAATCCCATAAGGACGAGGACGAGAGTTCTCATTTCTCCAGTTTTAATCATGTAGTGCTTCTTTCTGCCACAGAAGCAATACGGGAGAACAAAGCCATCTTGACCGACGAATATTCACAATGAATTTAAATGTCAAGAAAACCGTGCAGCCATTATCTGAATGGGTTTTTCAGAAAGGATTGATAACTTATAATTGCATGGCACTTCAATACCGCTCATATCGAGCTGGCGAATCGTGCAAAGTACATCTATTTAGGTTTTAAGATGTAGATGTATTGATCAGCTATGTTCAACGCTACACCCAACGATCATGATGAGATTGCCGATTAATAGTTCCAGAAGCAGGGTTTTAAGAAATCGATGGGGACATTAAATTAAATCACCTACCTTACTGTAAAAGGAATGAGCTCAAGCGTTCATCTTTCTCAACGTAATGAGTAAATAAGAGTTTCAGTTTAGTGAGAGTTTTAAAGAGCGGATAAGTAGAACGATACCCTTTTGCTAGCGACACACCAGTCCACTTTTCTAGAGGTTGCTTCTTGATTTTTTTGGGCTGATCAAAGTGGGTGGAATCTTGCGCTCGAACGGCGTACCCAAGTTTCGCACCCTAGGTATAAGATGTCTACCCCTAGAAGATGATTACTGTAATTCCCGCAAAACACGGCAGCGTGCGAAAGTGGGATTTTGATTACAAAGCCCGCCACCCTCTCTCAAATTAGAGAAACTAAAGTACGAACTGGAACGCAGAGTGGGCTCTGCCTTTCCGGTGATTGCTGCTGCATAGCGTGGGAGTCCTGCGACTTGTTACGATAAGATAAGATACGCACCCCTGTCATTAATGCAATGTTAACCTCGCTAGGAAGGGACATATGGAATCAAATCACACGGAAATTTCGTCTAAACAGGCTTGAAGGCGGTTTTCTCTTTGTGAGCGGCAGTGAGTATGACAAGCAGAAGATGGTGTTTTACCATGGTGGCCCTTACGTCTAGGTGGATTCAGAACAATCATATTCACCGAATGTGGTCGTCGATTTTTCAGACTTTCCTCATGCCTCCTTTGTGGCACATTTCGTCGTGCGAATGCGACGGGTTTTCTATGGAGGGTAAGCAACCTCTCTTCCATATGGGAATTCCCTTCATTTGCACATACGAGTACGTATACCTTGTGATTTCAAGCGAGAAGACCTCAAAGTACTACTACGGTTCCTTGTAGAAGGGGTGCCATCTATTTCAACAAATAGGTGTAACGACCACTAAACCGTTCACCAACGGAAGCATCACTCACTCTCAGGTACACAAATGGCACACGGGGAAAAAACCAAACAATGTCCTTTCGAAATGGAATGAAAAGAAAACCAGCGTTACTGTACAAAGAAAGTAGCAGTCTTTCCAATAACAGTCTTTTCTCAGTTCCACTTTCCTATATTCTTTTTCTCTCCTTTTTATGTCTCCTCCTTTTTTCTTTACAAAATTTCTCTTAGACTAGTCATCGCCATTCAGTTTTCGCTACTGTGTTCCGTGTTTTGAGTATTTTTCAACAAGCAAATGAATAGATCAATTTATAAGTTAGCTAAGAAGTAAGTATTATGAGTATGTTTAGGTGCAACGAATCAACGAAAACTCCTACTGAAGGCGCGGCAACGAATNTTTCTCTTAGACTAGTCATCGCCATTCAGTTTTCGCTACTGTGTTCCGTGTTTTGAGTATTTTTCAACAAGCAAATGAATAGATTAATTTATAAGTAAGCTAAGAAATAAGTATTATGAGTATGTTTAGGTGCAATGAATCAACGAAAACTCCTACTGAAGGCGCGGCAACGAATACCTTCAGCATGACGACTTCAACAACATCCGTCAATAAATTGACCCCGACAGTACATTCTAATAAAACCATTATAAAGGAATTCACCCTGCGATATCAGATTCCGGACGATAACACGATAAAGTACAGACTTTTGGTGGACATCATTTTGTCATGGCAGGAATCTGACAGTGTGGTGGCAGCCGTGTTCAACGTGCGGAATGGCTCTAGATTGTCGGGACTTCACTTTGTTGTCAATGGTGAAGAGTGAGTATTTCCTATCTGTGATGTTCTTTTTCATCGCGCTTTTTTCTGATACACACATTGATCCTATTCAGCATCCATACCCTCTTCAGACATTTTTTCTGAGCCAAAATCCATGTCATCTTGCTGACCAAATCCTTTTACTCACAAAACTATCGCGAAATACCTACTGGCTTAATATTATTAGCAGCTTTGTGGCTATTTCAGTATGTTACTTCTCTTTAAATCGCCCTTATGAGACATCCATTTTACTTATCATCACCACACATTTTATGCTATAACTCACTATGGATTAGAGCTTCTTTGGAGATGTTTGGTCTATTCATAAATATTCATAAGCGAGCAACTAGCAAGTAATCTAGATGTATACAGTTTTTGTTTGGCATGTAATCACCTTCCGTGGCAAAACGTCAATACTCTATGAAAGATTTCGGTGAAAAGTCGCTTTTCCAGGCACGTCCAAAGCCATGGGCATTGCCTAGCTTCACTTTCCAAAAAAGACTCTGCAAATCATTTCTCAGTGGGGTCCTTGAAAACGTCTCGTCTTGAAAGTTAATCTTTATTCCAGAATATATATATATTTCTCATTGCCTTTTTTACGCATTGCTTTAGCTCTTCTTTTCTCTACTTGCTTCAGGAATTCCTAGTGTACTGTCCCATCGCCTCAACAGTGAAGGCATTCGAATTCTCATACAGTCAAACAGTCTTCGAAACATACCAAATATCTAGTAATTCCCCGTCTGATTGAGAAACTTTCCCTACCCAAAAGCTCCAAATGTGAAAGGAATTCTTTACAGGTGCCAAGTCATGTGTATGTTTGTTATGGGATCGAAATGCAACATAACAGCTGGAGTCAATGGTTATCCTTGCGACGACATTGTGTTCTCAGTCACTCGAAGTAACAAGATAGGAGTTTTCTACGATTTTTGCGAGCAGCCTATGGATAATGTCGGATGTAGAGTGAGCCACTGTTTGCTAGACGTATACCTCTGTAATAAGGACGGAACGTCAACGGAACCATTTCTTCTAGAAAAAGACAACTGGTAAGTTGTAAGAAAGTAAGAGTATTATTCACTGTTTCTCACTACATAACTTAAGCAATGNNAAACATTTAGCACTTCCACATATCAAGAGTCTTCGACTACACTGTCATCAAGGACTACGACAACAACATCCTTAACAAGCAGCACGATATTGCCAACTACAACGCCTGATGAAGATGTTTTGAGACACCTAAGTGAGGTCAGTGCAACGGTCTTTTTAGGTAAGTCCGTCGGAGAGACACATAAAATCCCTGTGCGTGGATGGTACTTATGAACTTTTGAACAAGGGTAACGGATTTTAATATAATCTGCAAAATAATCAATTTTGCTGATTGTAGAGCGCCAGATTGATCATTACTAATTACAGGATTTATGACAATTATAGGCGTCAGAATTCAAAAATCTTTGAGGCAGAAGTTGCACATTAGTTTCACTCCATACGGTATAATTCACATGCATAAGTACATTTTCTTGCAAACGCATAGTTACCGAAATAAGACTACTAATATCTCTCAGATGATGAAAGCTCATTCAATCCACTTGCGATAATTCGCATGCAAGATGCGGAAGGATACCGTAAAACTTCTTGCGATTCCAATAATGACTGGACAGAAGGATACATGACAACACGAAGGAGCAGGATAAATCAAGGACAAGGACAGGAAGGGTAAGGGCTAGCGTTTCCTAATCGTTGGTGAGTCGACCTTAGTCCCTCGTAGCCAGCAAAAGGATCGCAATGGATGTGGACGTATCGAAGTTGCCGATGGGGCCAACTGTCAAGGAAAGTCATTCCTGTCGTATGTAGAAAAGCCACTACGTTTCAGATTCCAAGGGGCAGAATGAGTCAAAACATGCAGAAGGAGTCACCCAAATGGACACTGTTTTCTCTGACGAGAACTTCTTCGCAACCGACGAAACGACCGCGTACTGGCTAGAAGTCTACAGAACTAAACTTTGCGAAGCAGCTGTTATAAGAAAAGCAAAATGATTGTTTCGTGAGGAAGTCGCTGGCAATGGAGAGACGTCGTTGGTTTCGTTCGGCATAGTCGTGCTTTCAGAGCACATAGCGATGGCTATGAAGGTACATAGCGATGGCTACTGAAGCTTTGAACCCGTTCCGTTGATGAATAATTCGTTGTCTTTCCAACAAGAAAGTACTAAAGCCCCAGAGTTAAGCACGTCTTACCATTAGAGTAGCACCGTCGCCAGATGTCTGCTTCCATAGCGCCAAAGGATGGCCACCTTGGTCAGCACATCTTAACCCATTCGACTTCTCCGTGTATTCTCTGATTAGAACTAGCCATTTCAGTTTTGGTATTCGAAAGCAAGATTGAGAACGGTTAGAAAGAGGCTTAATAGGGATAGTTGCATGCAGCGTGAGAGGTTTCCAAGGTCAGATTTTAATCCTGTATCCGTGCTCATGAAAGATACCCCAAAATCATATTGTAGCTTTGCTGCACATGATGTAAGCAAACTTGTGTATGAATTCCATTGTCATCCTTAGCTCCGGATCTTCAAATACTTTGCAATGAATAGGCGCCCATAGATTTGAAACTCTGTGTATGTCATCCCGTCAAAATGGATTTGTGGAAAGTCCTATAACTTCGTACATTCCAAACCAATCGCTAGAAGTGGCTAGACGCTACTGCTTCCAACTCTCTACATCTGGCCCATATTCAACGTTTGAGTTGTAAACCAATTTAGGGCGGAATCGGTCTGAACAATGTTTCAAGGATTCTCAACGAAACCCTGGTATACGCTAAAAGCAGATCCAATCTCACTTCAATTCAAATCCAGGAGATAACAACCATTCTGAACAAATCTGCCGCACTCAACGGTCTGCAACCAGATGTAAGTAGACGTAAAACTTGCTTTGATAGCACCTGCAAGCACTTCATAGTTTGACGAAATTATATTTACAAAATCGCGAAATCTCCCAGAAATAATGCAAAACTCGTGCACGAAGCCAAATAGATTTTTTTGGGCAAGTGTAGTTTTAGTTTTTGAAACATTAGAAAATTAAGCTGCCTTGCAAGTGTTGTCGATGTTATGTGACGTTTTCATACTTCCCCAGAAACACTAACCGTACTCATTTTTACATCCAGGACTCAAAAAAGGTGCTGCTTAACATGGACTGCATTCTATCAGCCGACCAACAGCAAATACGAGGGAGTGGTAACAGCTCTCAAATGTGAGTGTTTTTATTGAAAGTTGTACAGTTGATGGCTTATACCTGTCTTCAGTGATTTCCAGTTTTACACACTGTAATTAATTGAAGGTAAGAGGAGAGATCGCGCCAAGGGTGTGATGTTAATTACTTACATCATTTTGTCCTCTCTAGGTGCTACTAGGCTCTATTTTTGCAAGAAATAATGAGGAAAGAAATTGTCAGAGTGAAATTACAAGTACGCCTCACATCCAACTGCTTTTGAACCCCCTTTTTGGCCTAATGCTGAATGAATGTGGTCATTAAGTATGTAAGCTTTCAGACTGAACTCTATGCTTCCGACACTGGTCATGAACACAAACGCCAGCCAGTTCGACTTTTTGATCGGAGAGAATCTTGGATTCACTGCGCAGAATATCGATTGTTCGTCAGTGACAGATGACAGCCTAATCGATTTGGGCAACATTTTTGAAGTTCTAAACGGCTCGGTTCCAGAGAACGATCAACATAATTCCATTTACATACCACTGACTGAGATATGTAGTCAGCTCCAAGGTGAGTCAATGTGTTTTGTAAAGTGAGATTCCACTACAAAGCTCAGCTCAAAACTCATGCTGCGTGGTAACAAGCGGCCTGTATGGACTTTTATATGAGGATCTTGTAACAGAAAATTTCAGCAACTCATTACTTCATGACTGTTTACCGAAATCGCAAGCTGTTTATTGGTGCAAGCCAGTACGAGACATATCCTTCAGCTTCAACGATTGCTAAGCGGAGCGTCAAACCCATCACGAAGGGAACTGTTTTCCAGCAAATACGAGCTCGTGATTTGATTTGCTTGTGATTTTTCGTAATTTCGAATATTATACATTTAGATTCGAAAAAATGTGGGCAACAGGCCATTTTCACACGAAAAGGCGCTACTCCCACTCGTGTTAAAATGGCTTGTCGCCTGCGTTCTTCCCAAATTCGGACACTCTGGTGTAAGTAGAACAACAGGTAAAAATTCTTAACCAAACACGCATGCACACTTCGTGAGCGCCTCGCCCGTCATGAGCAGAGTTCTTCCCAACGCTTCAACTAAGATGCTTCATTCCCCTATCTTCAACTTAACTGCGCGGATTCACTGTGCTCATTTTACGCACACTCCGCCCCGAGGGCGAAGTCTTGTCTTGCCACCTACCATTCCTACCCTGTCACGTGAACTCCTACCAAATTGGAACGATCATGGCTTGAATACACATTTTTCGCACAAGCCTCGCACCCCGTAGGCGGCGTCGGTCATGCCACTTAAACTAAGTGTTACATCCTGCCGCCTGCACACCCACCAAATTTGAATGCGCTAGGTCCAGACAGGAAGTACGAGTTTCCGGTCAGACAAACACACACACACTAACACACCAACAGACACACTTAGCGGTTTATCTAAGTACTTTATCGTTCAAGTTCAGATATTCTGTGGCATGACCAGCTTAGAAGACCCTTCTGTTCAGCCGGAACTGTGATAATGAGCCATCAGAAAGGACTAGTATTCTGAGAAAGAGACAAGGGAAAATTAATTCCCATTCGAAATGTTACTATAATAGTAACTATCTACCAGATCTACAGAGAGCTTAACAGCCCGAATCGGATTGCGATTAAGAAGATGTGGCTCGACCCCAGCTCTAGCCATCTTCGTTGCCTACGCACCAACATCAAGCTACGAATAAGAGGAGTTGGAAGCGTTCTATATGGATCTGGAGAGGCTCTACAGAGAAGTCCACACTTTCTTAAAGGTAATCGTTGGTGATTTTAACGCCAAGATTGGCCCCAGAAGAAAGGCTGAAGAGCTCCACATCGGGATTCACGGAATAGAATGGAATGTGCAGGGTAAAAGGTTGTCCGAATATCATGTCGACCCACACCATCCATGGTAACTCCCAATTCCAAAAGCCTTCTCATTTACGATGGACATGGGAGTACCTGGCGGACAGTTCCATAACGAATAGACCACATCATCTTCAATCGGAGATTTTGCCTAACTGATGTCGCTGTTGTTCCGAAGTTCTACACGGGATCGGGCCATCGCTCCTCCGCGCTAGATTCTGCTTCTCAGTGTGTGGAGAGAGAGCTATAGTAACTAGGAAACGAAGCCCCAAGACCTCTATCAACTGTGACCACCTCGCTTCCCTTGCGAGTGAATGGGAAGATTCCGTTATCGACAACATCGATGAAGAATACAACCGGCTCGTCAAGCGCCTCCACGATAGCGCTAGGAAAGCAGGGAGCCTACAAGTAGCCAAGAGACGACTCTCTCGAAGACTCTCGAGAAGATACGCCGGTGTGGAAGGCCGCGAGCTACAGGCAATCACCAACAAACGAAGCTATGTAGAGGAGCGATAAAGGAAGATCTGAAAGAGAGAAGAGCAGCAGTTATGGACGAAGCCGCCGAGGTCGGAAAGAGCATTCGCAAAGCCCGACGGAGCTTCGCCAATTACAAGACCAAGATGACTTACCTTCCTCGTCCTG